TTTTCTTTTCTTCTTTCTCTCACTCGCCCCAAAGATACTTGCTTTTCATGAACTGATATTACGCATATGGCTGTTGATAGTTGCCGTCATCGTGCTTTGTAGATTTTAAATACTTATTTCATTTTTATTTTTATTTTTCTGCAAAAGAAAGAAAGAAAGACATACAGGAAGAAGGGGGGGGGGGAGAAAAGAAGAATGAGAATAAGAAAAAAACACCGCTGTCGTCATGAGCCCCTCTCTCCACCTTCACCCCTGATGCCGTAGAGAAAAGTACATATACATACACATACATGGTTCCATCTCTCTCACACCTTCCGCCCCTTCGCCCCGTCAGCTTTTAACTTTTTCTCTCTCTCCCATTGCTGCTTGCTGCTGCTGCTGCTGTTGAGGAGGATGATGATGATGATGCTACATCTACTGTCTTTTATCGCCACAATCAATTATCAACACGGATTTGCCTGCTTGCCACAGACAGTGATACTTTATGCAAGTACGGACGTCCTTAGAAAAGAGAATTAATCCCCCCATCCATAGCTGGCGTACCGTACCGTACTTACTGTATGTCCCTGGATACTGCCTACCACTTTGCACACTCAGTGATATTACAGCTTCAAGCTCTGGCCTGTAAGTAGGTTACTTGGCGCATAAGTGTGGCCATTCGATGCTCTATTTCTGACTGGAATAACCTTCTTAGGTAAAGTACATATGCTGTCTGTAACGTACTGTGGTGTGGAATGCCTTTATGTACTTTCCGCCCACCCCATCCTCCAGTCCCACGTACCTCGATCCAGCCGGAGGAGTTTCGCTCGCTGAACCCACGTCTGCGATACCCTCATTTCCGGCGGACGTTCTCGGAGACTCGGTAAACTGCAGTACCCTACAAGTCCTCTCTTTACCTATGAACAAGTTCCATGACAACCCGCCAGACAGAGAGGGACAGACAGACATGATGAGCACAGCTAGTAGCGTAGAGTACCAGGTAAACACACATATTGTCAGAGTGGTCACCATACTTACCTCCCACCACAAACCACCATAACCCCGGCCGGCGAAGCCCTGGGATGCTCCTCCCAGATACCTCCCTACCCAGCTACATGTACTCAGTACTCTAGCCCCCCATCGTCCGTTGATTGTCGCGCCACGACTGCTCCTCCACACCCGGCGCGGGCTGGTTGTGCTTGTCTGACACAATTTCGCATATGTCCCTTTACATCATAGGACGTGGATGTTAAGGTTTCTTCCCAACAAAGGCCCAGCTAGGGCTAGCCGAAGAAGAGGCTCCAGCTCGGTCGGTGGGGAAGTACATAGAGAGAGAGTATGTAGACAGGGAGAGAGAGCTGGGGGATGCATCAACAGATGTCCTTCGACTCCCCCGATCGCGATAGATATCATATCACGAACAGGATCTAGGATGCTCTTCTAATTTTCCTTTGTACCCATCATCGCCAACAGCATCAACAGGAGCAGCAGCAGCAAATCAGCACGCGGGCACCGCTTCTGCTGCTATTCCCTTTATTTATTAATACTTTTGGGGTTTTCTCTTATCCGCAAGAACAGCCTTTTGGGGCATAAGCGTTTTGGTGCCGGTGAGCGCGGGTCTCTTTGTAGTATCACGATGTTAGGCTTAGGTTGAAAGTTGAGGAAACGTCTGATATTAACACACCTACACCCTACAGCTCCCCCCTCTTCCCGGGCAACCGGATTGGTTCGAGGTAGAGTACTGTATGTATTTATATTGATTGTTACCCTTCCCAATATCGTATTGTATATATGTAGACCCCTCCATGTGTAACGAGGGCCTGAAGTGGAAAGTGTCTCGAATAGGTACATGTACCTACTGACTGGTATCACCACATGGCCTGCCAAACAATTGAGTGGATGTGGTAAACTATCCCACATACGGAGGGGTGGGTAGGCATCTCGATGGGGGTGGAGGGGATATTCTTTCTATCTTTACCCTTTTGGAGCACATCCTATGACTGCTCGAAGGGGTATCTATCGCTGTCTCTGGCTGGGCATTAACCTTCTCACCATGCAGAACAAGGTGGAGGTGCAACCTGAGATTGCCTTTCTAAAAGGGGTGTGTGTGTGAGCTAGATGTAAGACATGGCTCTCACTCGCGCAATATCAGATAGGGACGGTATCTAGATCTGAGAGGTGATGTTTCTTTCAGCAGCATCTACACCGTGCTACAACGGACAGGCGAACGAATACTCTTCTTCGCCAGTTAGCTAGCTAGGTAGCTGAGGGTTTGGATTTGGTGTAAGCTCATCATCCTCGAGATCCCTATCTACTAGCTAGTACAGTTAATGATTGCCGGCGAGATAGTCGAAATGCATCACCACCACTCACTTGCCAGTAAGACAGCACAACCGGCACTGAATGAGCAATGATGATTGACGAGAGCTCACCTGCAAAAAAAGATTTCTGTACCACTCGAGGGATTATGTACCCCTTCTAGTAAGCTACATATAGAGGAAGAACCTCCCTGGGAGTATATCTCGACTCCTCTGTATGTACTGTTAATTGGACAACCAGATGATGTTACGTTCCTCCCATTCCCCGGTTGCTAATTGTCAACTATCACCCAGACAACAAAAAACCTAATTCCCCTCACCCCTTCCCATTCTTCGACACTTCCCTTCATTTTGCCTTACACCCCTTGATGTGATGCTGATGCGCATTTCAACATTCGAGACACGTGTTGCGTGGGCATCACGCTATCCGCTAAGGTAAGGCATGATGTCCAAACACCACCATCCATGGAGCCACAGCCAGCTCCGTCCGGATGTTTCTACGAGCGAGAGAAAGTAGAAAAACGAATCTATACCTACCCCCAAAAAAAATAAAAAATAAAAAATAAACAAAAATAAGGCTCTGCCCGTCCAGTCCTTCCCTTCCCTTGGGGGTAGTAGGGGTGGGTGTGGTAGTAGAGTGGAATGGGTGAGCTTGGATCCCATCTTTTTCTTCAGAGCGTTCGTTTCCCGTCCCACATCCACCACCAACACTCACACACACCACCACAAGCACAACCCACAACCACAACCACTCAACACACAAGCACAAGCACATAACGCTTTGTAAGGAAAGTGGTTGATCCTTTTTCCCTGCCCTGTCCCTGCCCTGCCCCCCCATTACGGGATCTCAAACACCCGCCATTTTGGTTTGGCTTTGCCTGAAACAATCATCTTCATTAACTACCTAGCGAATCCCCGCCAGTCTTTCTTAGATTTCCTTGGGGGCAATTTTTTTTTCTTTCTCGGGCGCCGGAAAAAACGTGGCGTTGACTTGACAATTCTTTTTTGCACTTTTAATTTTTTTTTTTTTGCTGCTGTCTGCGCTGCGCTGGCTGGAGAATGAGAGTGAAAAGCGAGAAGCACATAGCACACGTGAGCAGCGTTTTGAAAAAACCCTTTCCCCTCCACGAGAGGAAGTGCAACAATTTACCGAGAAGTGCGTAACCAGCTAGCCCTCCCACCCTCCCCCGCTCTAACCAGAACTAGATAGAGGATGGGGCTCTTCCTCTTCAGGCAGCTACTCGGGCTTCCAGAAGCTCTCGCCTAACGGCAAATGCGGCAGAAAAGGGAAAGGGTAAAAAGAAGGAAGAAACCATCACGATTCACCACCGCCGCCGCCGGCCGCGCGACCCCGGCCAACGGCTTTTTCCATTCCTTCTAGAATCCGTACGCGAGGGGGAGCTAGAATATACCGCGCCCTGCCCTACCTACCCACCTTACCTAACGGGCGAGCGTTCGTCCCTGGATGTCTTGGCAACTAGCGTTGGCGGTCGGTACCTGGAGAGTTACGCGCCAGGCGCTGGCTAGCCGTGGGTTATGGACCCTATGCAGCAGCAACAGTAATCTATTCTGCTTGCACATGCTCCAAGACACGGTACGGTACGGCAGGTGGAGTATGGGGTTTGACATTACCTACCTACGTACAGCACGGCGGATCGATGAAAAAGAAAAGAGAAAAAAAACTTCAAGACATGTGCTGTGCTTCTAATGTACTCTATTGCCAGATAGAGTAGGGATCGCAGGCTTATGTACGAGTAAAAGTACATGTACTCTCAGGAAATTAACAAAATAAATGGTCACTGGACCTATCTATCTCGCAATGCCCATATATCGGCAGAGTGATCACGCCCCCCGCGATACAGTACCTACTCTACCTACAGAATTAACAGAAAAGCATTCTTCTGCTCATGATCAGTAGGATTCAGTACCGGTCGCGGCGGTACATGGTCCATTCACCCGCAATTACTCTTCTCGATAAGTAGATAGTAGATAGTAGATCTCCTGGATACGGGCCGCCCACTCAGCGTAATAGTTATTTACATGCCCCCCCACTCGTATTCATTCATTTCTCCCACCTCACTCGATCGATTAATTGTTCCCCTCACCCTCAGTGAAGTGTACCAGCTACAAACACTGAGATTCAATCTCGCATCAAAGGGCGAACCCTGCAATGTCAGATTTCGATTCCCCCAGTCTCTGCTGCTGCTCTGGAAATCTTGTACTCCTCTGCTCTGTTCTGCTGCTCTGCGTACAGTATACCCATACCGCGAGCAAGTCCAGGCAGGAGAGCGTTGACGGATCATGGCTCGACCTCCCGCAAAGGGCAACCGGCAAAGATCAGCCGAAAGGAAACACAGGAACTCGAGCACAGCACACGACATGTGTAAAAAAAAACACCTGCAGGCGTGTTCTGTACCACGACATGTGCTGCCTGCCTACTGTGCATGCCTTCCTGCCTTCTTCTGTGCGTCCTCAGAGGGAGAGTACTCTGCTCTAGGTTACATCTACATCTACAGTTACAGTTATGGGGAGGGGAAGGGCCATCACATCACCAGCACAATCGTAACTACACTCAATATCAGTCGGTGGAGTGCTCACTCTGGGTAGAGTACATGTAGTTACAACCAAACCAAACCAAACCAAACGGGCGTCCACCTGCATCACAGCACATCACATCACGGCATCGCATCAGGGTGATTTACAATGCACCTTGATCCAGGTACCGCCCGCCGCGTCTACTGCTGCTGGCTGGCTGCCAGCACAATAATTCCCCGATCCTCAATAAATAACCTCAGAGGGGCAGGCAACGCAGAGAGAGGGGTGATCAAGGGGGAGGGAAAGGAGGCTCTGCGGACCGGCCACCGGGGAGAGGACCGACTACCCGACGCGACGCGCGACCAGACCCATGGTTCAGGTTCTCGCGTTCAGGTTCAGGGCTTGACCCTTCCACCCATTCTCCCAGTTTTCTATTGGCCCCTCGCTCCCTTCCAGAATTTGATGGCGGCAAGGGTCAAGGGGGGGGTTTGGGGGTGTGGGAGGTGAGGTGAGGTGGGAGGGTGGAGTGGAGTGGAGGGTCGCGTAGGTAAACTGCCGTAACACTAGCGCGGTTCTAGAATCAAACTGGCTTGGGGGGGGGATAGAACCGTAACAAGGGGAACGGAACGAACTTTGAGAGAGAGAGGCTGGTTGGCGTTACTGCTGGCCCGTGCACAGACCACAGATCTGTCAATGCGATTCCTGATGAGGACGGCCCTGACTGATCTGGCTGCCTGCCTGGACAGTCTGCTGTCTGTCTGGCTGTCGCGTCGTCCACCAACCCAACTGCCAACTGCCACTTTTCTCTGACATGTGGGTCCAAATAATAATTCTTATCGGAATAACTCTTTTTTTTTTTTTCTCTCAGAAGGAAGGAAAAAATAAATAAATAATATATCACTTTCTTATATATGTTGGCCATGCTGGTAGGTACTGGGTAGTGCTTTTGTTAAATAGGTGTAGATAGCTGCGCATACATATTGTGATGGGGATTGCCTTTCTTCTCCTCCCCCCTCGACTTGCTTTGCCTACATACAATCGACAAGACTAACCCACATGTGCCCACATGAATGACTGACTGTTTGACCCGCATTAAATATCACTCGAAACCAACAAATTGGGGGTTCCCCATCTCGAACGAGATGAAACAACGGCCGCTACACAGTCCGACCAACAACAACACCAGCAACAATACCAACAGCAGTACCTACCTAGGTTTTTCTGTTATTTAATTTTGCATCGTGTATGTGTGTTCCTATCCCTTCCCTTCCACTAACCCCCCCACCCTTGGAAGAGCTCATCTCCTACCTACAACAAACCTTACCTACATATACATAACATACGTATCATCACTGCCACCACAGCCAGCAGCAGCAGAACCAGCACCCACCACCAGAAGCACACCAGCGACGAACAGTCATCAGCTAGAATCAATCCTACACCAAGAAATTGTCTAGTATTACGCGAGTCATTGCAAGCTCAAGAGGAGGGGCGCAAGACATGAAAAAAAAATTCACACACCCTGATGCTGGTAAGAAAGGTCTGGCAGGCATATGGGAAATATCCGGTCTCCTCTGGGCGAACCGATCACCAGATTTTGACAAGGGCATTCCAACGGGATACTCCTCCCCCGTAGTAAAATCGCCGGCTATCGGTTCAACGAGAGGAGGAAGAATAAGAAGAATGCCCGCCCTGGATCCTCATCAGTTGATTCCAGTAATCCAAACCAGAATCAGCATTGCCACTATCTAGGTACATAACTATATGGTCAGTGCGTGGCAAAGTCCTGGTGAGCACGACACACATACATACATTCGGCGAAAGAGGAAGAAATTTTTTTATTATATTCCTACTGGCCTGAGCTGAACAATCATTGACAGCATTGGCCACCGTTTATCGAGATGGTGCAGCGGAACTGAATTTTTCCTACGACGCTAATTACCCCCGCGCGAACCATATTGTTTGGAGGTAGACCAGTATCAGCTTCTCTCGCAGGAATAAAAATTCTGATGATTTTCAGTAACTGGCTATGGTGTCAATCGCGTGTTGGACGCAGGGAAGGGCCCCTTGGTACGCCAATAGGCAAGAGGTAGGGGGCTACCTCTCTCTAGATCTTTTACAAGATCGACAGATGAACCACACCCACCGAGCAAAATTTCAGCGATTCGCGAACACAGTGATCTTTTCTTTGACTACCAATCATTCTACTCCTGCCAGGGGCTATGGTCAGCGACGTCTTGGATATTATCATTGCATCCCCCATAGACCGCTTTACCGAAATCGAGTACAAGAAGCTTTACGTGGCAACATCTGTTGAGCTTGTCAGAAATACAAATACCTAGCTAATCATCGTCTGGCATACCAGCGGCAGCTGCCCTCAAAAAACAGGATTCTCAAGATACCTACCTGAACAGAGGGGAAATACAATATCCAACTCTCGCTGACGTTCCGGATGAGAAGGGACCGAGAGTCTTGGGTGCCGGAATTTCTAACCGTTGGTGCGATTCATCTGGTGAATATGAAATCCAGGCACATATGAACGTCTGTTAATCATGTTACCAACGGCCTTCTCACCGGTGTACTTTGTCTACTTTCCTCTATCTCTCCACCGTACATAGGACTTCCATCTCCTTAGAGGCGTTTGGAATGCGGCCACCTCGCAGCAATTGAGTTTCCTCTCGGCTACTCAGCGGGCTTTCTGATTGGCGGGCCCGCCGGCCTAATCAGCCTATCAGGGCGGATTTAGAATCGGCACCAATGCGGTGAAGTAAACGATACATCCATATCGATGTCTCGATTACAAGAGACCTCTGTATTGCGTAGGAATGAGATGTTTTTCATATCTATGGCGATTTGGCACATTAAAGTCATAACCAATCACTCGTCCTGATTCTATCGTTCTTTTTTAAGGAGAGGGGAAATGTTTCCGACAGATGTGATGAAGTGACAATACCCGCTCGCCGCCGACCTGCCGTTTGGCGGATGGACGGGTGCTTACCCCGCAGCACTCCGACCAGATGCTGTCCGCACAGACAGCTGGCCCGAGTCTCAACAGCCAATGGTTTCGGCGGGCAAAAACACCGTCGATGGTCGGACGTCTATCAGCTCAACTACAATCAAGTACTGTACTCCTTCGAGCGGGGCAATGCAACGGCCAGCGGAGCGGAGTAAGAAAAGTGCTTGAGCAGTTTTTTCTCTTGATAGGAATTGTTTTTTTTCTTTACAAATCGCCTGTGGTGAGAAGATCAGCGGAAAAACTCGGATGTCGGACTGGGCGCTAGGAGACGATTTCTATTTATGTGAAATGGTGTTCGGACTCTCCCATTAGGCTTTTTGCGTGACATGTCCATGTCATGTGTTGCTACCACGTGCCCTATTCTCAGGAGACCGCTACTGTAAGCCTCAGGATTGCCGTGTGAATTTCCTCATGGGGGAGGCTGCTATTAGTTATGTTTTTGTTTTGGCGGAGAGATTCTACTATTGGTGAACCTATCACGGCAGTCCCATGTGTTGTGGTACTAGTTGGTAGAATCAAGTAGCAACTATGTGCCAACCAATGACAATATATATTTGTTTATTGAAGCCCAGAATGGAATCAATATTTGCCGTGAAAATGAAATAATCATCTATCGAGAGGCCTAGTAGGCACTTAGATAGGCTAGCTCGCGCACAAATGATCGCTCGTAATCTGTAGGCTCCGGGATCCGCAAAAAAAAGCACCTGGAGGGATATAGCTAAGAAGTACTGCAACTTCTTTTACCTATGATAGGCGAGTGAGAAGCAGTGATCATACCTAAGAAAAATAGTAGTGTTTGTTGTAAACCGTTCTGATCGGTCAGAAATACTCTACCTGAACCTCTGTTCGAACTGAAGTAGATGCCCGATTGACCTCAGTTCAAGTAGACCGCAAGATGAAGACTAGTTTGTAGTTTTAGGTGAACCCCTAGCCAGTCCACCATCGATAACGTCATTTCATTCACTTATTTATGAACCCCATGAAGCTTGGGCGCTCGGCAGATAAATCTGGCCATATCCGAGTGATCAACCATGAGTTGTATGTAATTTTATACCGTATTTTCTTGGGGGTGCGCCGAGACAAGCCCAGTAAAAGAAAAATAGTTTTGCATTCCTCTAGGAAAGCCACTTTTAGGGAATGGGCCGCCGGATATCTAAATTGATATTCAGGTACCTAGCCTCATACCGACAGTTTTCAATATATAGTGCATGGCGGGTGGCATGTTGAGCTAGGCACAAGATGAGCGCGAGCAGGTACCTCTTAATCTTGCTAGACTTACCCCACGGGGGGTAACTATCTTACGCCAACAAAATATGATTTTGAAAGCCGAATTTCGTCTCGGGAACAGTTTCTGCTCTCGATCGAAATCAATAGTTCGTCATTTCTCGCTTGAACGCTTGTACTCCCCCGAGACAGTAATATTCCGGCGGTGATTAGTTAGTGTCCACACATAAAACGGTCTTTGGCCGAAGTAGGTGCCGATATGTATGTAGAAGAAGCCAACATGTGATGTGGGGGATGCCGGCAGCACTAACTGGGGACCGTGCCTGATCAACAGCTGCAGGCTGCATAGAGTAGTCCAAGAACACTCTGCATACTCTAGTTAGGCAGTTGTACAGACCCAGTCGATCTCAAAACGCCATGCAGTTGCAAGTCCTCATCTATGTAGAGTACAAACTGGCCAAAGCTTAACCAAAATCGAGCACAATGTGTTATTGTGGAGGTTGATAAGGTGTATAAAACCCGGGAAGCATTGTTAGAGAAAGTTATGTGGAACGGATGGTTCATTCCCCGTTCTCCGTGGTACTGGGTGACCGAACCGTGTCTCATATGCACCCGGCAGATCAATTTTTGGCTTTTCGCTTGGGCCTCACGACCCGGGGGCTAGTTGCATCCGACGTTCTGCATTGGTTAAAGCAGCTCTAGCGATAGTCATTTCTCCTTCTAGAAGGCAGCATGTAGGTGCCCTGGCTAACTTTTGCTATTGAAGGGGCTATTTGTCGGTAAACCTCACAGTTCAAGCCCAAAATCATGGATGTGACATTTATCAGTCTTGGAGAGAGTCCTTTCCTATTGATCATAACTCAATCATTACGTATCACTCGGTTTGTGGAAAGCGTGAGAGTGAACCAGAAATCCAAATTAGGCTCTTCCAGGACCTATAGAAGGATCAAAAGTGGTGGAAGCACAGACTTTACCATGTCACTCAGCGTGTGCCACTCGTAAAAACAATGGATTGCTACTTCTATGCCTTATTCGTAGTTTCCGGATGAGACCGTACTTTCGGGATGCCATCGTGCGTACATGGCACCCTTTCCAGCACCATTTCTGGCAATATGACCCTGAAGGTATGTGTGGAGCCTGATATCGCGAAGTTGGACGTCTAAAGGGGCTGAAGCCATAGTGGGGGTGGGTGTTATAATTTTGGATGCTGGCTTCTGATATCGTTGCAGGCTTCCTTATATAGGCACGCCACTAATCTCGCAACTAAGGATTGCATTCCTTAGGTCAATGCAGCGGAAGCTTGTGTTTGGGTGTTCCCGGTTCTCGGGTTCAAATGATGACCCGTCCTCGACCCTTTTCGCGGGAATATCCAGTTGCCTTGATCTGAGCGCAATCGGTCCTCGCCGAAGCTCAAGATAACCGAAGCTTTCAGACTTGAGAGCCTGGGAGATAAGAAGAAAGAAGACATCAGAGATGATGGTTCTGTCAAGAGGTTAGTTAAGGGGGGTTCTTGTTACATGTGTGTGTGCGCGTGTACTTTGTGGTGTAGCCGGGTTACCGCCATTTCAAAGCCACGCCCCCACAACATACATGTAACCTTTCTCGCCCACGCAATTTCTGCGTTTAAATACATGTAGCTGCTAACGACTCTGTATACCTGAACTATGTGAGTCGAGTTTACATAAGTTTGGTTTATTCACTCGTGTTGGTATTCGAACCCACTGTCCAAGAGTGGGCATGATTCGAGGATTTCTTTTCGGAAGCATACCAATTCAAGAAAATTTGTCTATCATTGAGTACCTATTTTCCCGCTCAATCTACATGGGGTACAGCTGTACTAAGCTACCACCATCACCAACGCCGCGGATTCTCTTCTCAACGAAGGCCGTAACATAATCTTTCTGAGGCTCCTGCTCTTGCCGTGAGTAAAACCGACGACTCCGAAGAGAGAAGCGACGCTAGAGTTTGCGTATAGCTAAGGTGAAAAAGGGGGGGGGCGGTGCATGTCTTGAGTCACCAACAATTTTTCAGAGTGGCAGTGTTCAAGGACGTACCACCAAAGACAGTATGTTGTTGGATCAATATTACAAGAATTTTGCATTTGAGCTATTGGGACACATGTATCCGAAACAAGTGCTAACCACCACTAAACATGACCCAACAGTAAATGTATCTGGCCTTATTCATAGGCGATCACTCGCTCATTAGGATTGTGGGTGGATACAAGACGTAGTCGAGTGTCTAATGTACCCGGGGGTCCCTAAAAGTCGCCAAGAGGCACCCAGACTCCAATGTTTTAACACAACACAACGCCTGAATAAGATAGATTTTCTGATCATATGCATGACACAGGAGTCTCTAGGATAGAACCTGCGTTTTTCAAGTCTTTAATTTGGATTTTTTAGCCTACAAAAGGGACAACTTCCGGCCAACAAAGGTGATAAAAGGACAAGCAACAGCTATTCATAATACCTCTTGCTAAAACTATGATCCCCACCTTCTAAATTATCATAAATCTACTTCGCATCTTGTTGGCTAGTTTCGCGATCGTTGTTGAAAAATATGGATTATATGATCGTTGCATTACTTATAGGGACCCCCGGGTATATATACTTGGAAAGAAAATTATATCCCTAGACCGATTCAACTTGATCCTTCCATGTGTGAGGGTGCATACAGAAATGCAATTTGAGAGTCGTCGGGGCCATCAGGGAGGGAGGAGCTTCATATTTTCATTAGAAAGCTACTGGATAGTGAAGAAATCCCCCCCCCATACCTCTGAAACAGTCTTTTGCAATGCCTAGTACTAAGAGACAGGAACGTCTAAAGATGGAAGTCACTCTGGGGTAGAAAGTGGGGAGAGGGCCCTGCGGACGGGGGGCCTCAATGGGAATGAGAGCTGGGGATAAAGCTATGGCTAAGAAAGTTACTTAACCTGAGATCAAGGGGGCATACGCTCATTATTGCTTACTCTGCATTTCACCCTCAAAATGATCGAAACAATTCTTATGTTACTCGATTGACTATTTAGTGTTCCACGCTGGCATTTCAAGCTAAGGGTGAGTTACTTCGCGGATGGATGGCAATTCATGAACTATCAGAATGAGAGATAGACTTTGACAGTTCGACCAGCTAGAACCATCCGACCAGCTAGGACATATATATTCACCTCATGCTCGCAATGAAGGAATTGCGAAAGGGTGAAGGGTGAGGGGTGGGATGATGGCGCTACCGTACAGTGATGAGATCTCGGTAACGAGTAAGTTCGATGTACTGTAAGTGGCGAGAAAAAGAAGAAGAAGGAGGAGAGTAGCTAACTCAAGAAAGAGATAGGACCATGAGCCCCCTAGGCCTTTCTGGCGCCCCACCACGATCCGCACACGAGCCATGCATTTCAACAAATGGGCGTAGTGTCTGTAAACCTTTGTTTGCTAAGGATACCGTGACTATGACATACTTGGAGTTTATCCTTAAGACGTATCTTACATATGTTTTGCGCCCGGGTTAGACCAGGTCGCTAACAGCAGCATATTTATGGCATCATAGAAAATCACTCGCGTGCCAAGAAACGAGATTCCCGCTGTCTGCGGTGCCGGCAGCATCAGGGAAGATAGGTGGGGTCACTGTGAGGAGTACTATTACTCTCTAACAGATTTTACGGGTGGGTGGTTACCACCCAGCTACGTACCAGGCCGACGAATTCTCCACCATTTACAGAATCATTTCTTCGGATGTCTAAACAGTCCTCTTTCCCTTGTATCATGGTTGAACAGCTGGGATAGTCGCAAGTTTTCCAAGCTCCAAGTCAAAACTGAGGATGGTAAGGCTACACGCTGTAGTCACTCTTTTATCATGTGGGGCGAGACCCACTACTGAGGCTATAACATCTCTACCAACCAGACCTGAATGAAATGGATGGTTTCTCCGTTGACCAAACAACCCTGCTGTCCAACCAATTAAGCACCCTATCCGTCAAGATGGTAGACAGAAAACTCGGCCTACCAAACCTACATATACAAGGCTCAACGGGTCGAGCCATCCACCTAGTGGAGGTCCCGCAGACATCCTATGAGAATCACTCTTTCATGACTTTTATGAACCCCTCGAAATTGCCATGCCTGCCTAATAGGCCTAAAGCTCTTTAAACACGATGAATCAGCTATCACGAAGCATACCAAGTCATAGAGTATGTTTGGTCAATTTGGTGTGGGGGGTATGAGGCGCCTTGTTCATCGAGTCCATTCCATTGGCCAGGTAGATAGGACGCTCTTTTGGTCGGTGGGGTAATTTGGTGAACTTACGGAGTAAAATAACTTTGATGGGTGGCTGTTTGGGGAGATCGATCAAGGACGTCGTATCTCTTGGCGTTGGCGAGCAGACAGACATTGGATTACATCCCCACCCTTGCGCCCCGCAGCAACACACTTAGCTCAGTTACCCTAATGCTGGATTCTGGGGCCGGTCTCAGTATTTGCCGCACAAACAAGTGAAGCGGCGAAGATGATTTGACCGTTACTACACTAATATCATGGTGAAAAATCGATGTCTACCGATTTTATTATCTTACCCCAAGCTAAATTAAGGACATAAAAACAAACGACAGAATCCGGCCAAATATTGCGTCGCGTCACAAGATATCACCCGCTTGGCTTTATAGCTATGGTTCGGTCCGCTAATAGATACTAGGAGTAGGTGTTGGTATATATCAAGGCTGAAAAAAATGATACTAAAAGACGCTATTAGCTATATCTGCGCTTGCGGCTTGGGTTTACACAGATCGTCCCCTATCGCTCGCACTTTTGTGTGAGAGGTGTCTGTACAGAACCGCGCCTCTCTATCTTCAATGCTTATCTGAAAGTTCCTGCTAGACTACTAGTATTTCATAATGGAAGATTGGTTGGATATATTCAAGTCGGACAACGACCTAATTGTAGTGAATCGACGGGATATATCATTTGGAACTCGAATGCTACTGTTGGCAACTAGTCATTTAGTTTTGGGAACAAATTATGCTACGTAGATATATGTTTAAATCAATACCCCTTATCTTGCTCAAGGAGGGGCTGTACATCGAACTCTCGATCTTGATAGCTTTAAAGAAAGCTTGATATATCATAGGTCCGGACATATTGCAACAAATAAGCCACGATGTTTGTAAAGCTGGTATTGGGTGGCAGCTCCTTTTCCGGTACATTCCAACTCTATAATAAGGAGAGTGAGAAGTGAAATAATCCACAACTAAGATATTCCTAAAATATGAATTCGAATCACAAGCCATGACTCGGTCCTTTCCTCACAGGGGTACATAAAGTACATGTAGTAATCCAGCCAAGCCCACCCACCCCATCTGCAGCTCCCCACGCAAAATCCCAACAACGCCAAGACGGAAGCCTCCACCCCAGTCGTTGCCACGTCCCAGTTAAAGAGTTCCGACCAGATCGACTCTTGGAAATAAGTCTCAAAATATTCAACCTGCAAAAAAACACCTTCTCCCCCTATCCTATCATATTTCCCTCTCTCTCTCTGTGTTTGCAAACTCCGATGGTTTCGCCTTTGGTCCTTGTCGTTGTGTTGACGGTGGTAACGCATGTTGTGAATACGCTGGGTGCCCAGCAGATCAATAATCTGGTACGTAGCTGCCGCGCGGTGCAGTGCAATGCGAGATGAGCTGTGTTAGAACGGGAAGCTAATTGTTTCTGTGTTGGTATAGTTGTGGTCATTGTACAATTCGCTCCCCTTCAGCAGCTCCAGGGCCGACGTCGCAAACAGGAAAGCCTTGCAGCGCGAGATCCTGCTGCTCCGCGCCCAGCTGCGGGCCACAAGCTCCCAGGACGAGTTTGCGAACTGGGCGAAGCTCTCGCGCGCCCTCGACAAGAAGGTTGCGGAATTTGAGAAGCTGAGTAAGTACATCTAGCTACCAAGCTAGCTGCAGATATATGTGTGAATGTGAAATGGGTGGTGGGCTGACTGTAAGCTCGTCGCAGATACCTCAATCTCGGCTGCGCGCGTTGCGTTCGACTCAAAGACTCGGGTTGTTAGGTGGATCCTCACCTCCGGGCTGCGCTGGTTCGTGCTGTTCTGGTACAACAAGGAGCCGATGTTCTGGATGCCCGAGGGGTGGGTGCCGGGGTATGTCGAGTGGGCGCTGTCGTTCCCCAAGGCGCCCATCGGCAGTGTGTCGATCCAGGTGTGGAGCTTTGCCGTCGGGCAGGTGGTCAACTTGATCTCGGGTATCATCATGCATTTCTTTGCGGTGTTTTCCGACAAGTACGGCAAGACGCCGGTTGCGATGCCGGCGGCGGCGGCGGGCGAGAAAAAGAAGGCCAAGAAGGCCATGTAAAATCGGACACGAGCATCTAAGCTATGAGTTATGGACTTGAGGTTTTTCATCATGTTGTGTTTGTAATCTGGGGATTCCGTTGTGCGCATTAGATCCGGAAAGGCAAATGGTAATAAGGCGTTGTTTGGGCATTGGAGACGATTGCACGTATTTAATTGTATACCTCTTGTAGTCAAGTAGTGATTCTAGTTTCATACGAGATTCCTGTCGCGCAGCTGTTTTGCGAGTTGAGATTCATATCATGAAGCTCTGTAGTAGTCCTTGCTATTGTGCCTTGGTCTGTCCATGTAGTTGTTACTACTTTGTCTGGTCTATCCATGTAGTTACTGCTGCTGCTGCTGCTGCTGCTGTGAATGCCAGTATTTCATTTATTCCAAATTGTTTCCATCCCGGGTAGATGCATGCAACTGATAAAAGGTCAGGACGGAAAATCATTTCGCAAATAGCGGGTACGTATTGACTGATTGGCCAAAAACCTGCCGAAAGAATTAAAGAAAGAAAGGAAGGAAGAAAGGAAACGCAAATATCCATTTACCTACGTCCAAGAGTTTGCTGAAGGGCTGCGGCTGGTAGCCTACCCTACTGGGGAAATGGAAGCTACATTTGTATGCCAATGACCGATTTCCCAGTTATTTCACACGGTACCAGGTTACAAGTACATGTAGCTACAACGATCTTTGCGGTAGTAACACCGGCCGGGCTAACCCCTACTACATGCAGTATATTATATATTATATTGGATCTCATCTCGGGTCAATTAATTACATGTATGTAGTCGTCGCACATGATGGAAGATTCCCGAAGCTGTCAACCCCCATCCTGACAAATATCGGGGCTGTTGACTGATCTTCTGCAAGTGTCTGTCTGTGCTGTTGATATCAAGGGTTCCCCATCTGTACTACCTGGGGTGTTTCCTACGGTTATGTACTAGGAGATACAGTACCGCACCCCAGACAGAATGCACTCCCCCAGTATGCAACTCCCACCAGGGTTAGGGTAGCTAGCCCCACCACCCACCGCCCCGCCGGACGCATCAAAATGGCCGAGAAGTCGGCGAAGAAGCAGTAGTGACATTCCACTCCAGAACGGCGACTGCAGCCGGGGGGAGAGGCCGGGGGAGGCAACTAGGGGTGAGCGTGAGCGTGTGCGCGCGCCCAGACCGGCGGAACGCAGCGATGTTACTGTGCCCGGCGATTTCGTCATCATTCGTGCTCTTACAAATCCGCTTCTGGGGGAAAAAAACCCCACCACGCGAAATACTCATCCCACCACACCCCACACCACCACGAATAGCAGTATCAGAACTGAGCATATCACAATAGTTTGTAGAGAGACAGAGACAGCCCTTCTATAAATACACCCCCCACCCCCGCACTCCCCTTCATAGATACCCCCCTTCCCAATCTTAGAGCACTCCTCCACCGAGCAGTGCACTAACCCACACATACGCCCAAACTGTCAGCCACGCTCCTGCTCAAACGCCTCTCCAACCCGGCGTCAACAAATAGACTATCAGTCCTCTCACGACACTTTTCGGCCATGGCACCCATCGCAAAGCACTACGACTACCTCGTCATCGGTGGCGGCAGCGGTGGTCTCGCGAGTGGCCGCCGCGCCGCAGCGATGTACGGGAAGAAGGTGGGGATTATTGAGAGTGGACGGTTGGGGGGAACGTGTGTCAATGTCGGGTTCGTACTCCAGTCCCCTCAAGCCCTCTTCATCTCTCTGAGAAGTTATGAAGCAGAGTATAAGAATGAATGAATACTAACTCCCCACCAGCTGCGTGCCTAAAAAAGTAATGTGGAACGCCGCAACCATGGCCGAGACGCTGGCCGAGTCGCGCGACTACTGCTTCGACACCGAGGTGAGAGGCTTCGACTGGCCGCGCTTCAAGACGAAGCGCGACGCATACATCAAGCGCCTCAACGGCATCTACGAGCGCAACCTCGGCAACGACGGCGTCGACTACATCCGCGGCCGCGGCCGCTTCCTGTCGCAGAACGAGGTCGAGGTGACGGACGGGAGCGGCGCAAAGACGGTCTATGGCGCGGATAAGATCTTGATCGCTACCGGTACGCATACTGCCCTCTTTCTAAGTTACTGTGGTGATTCTGTGGGCTGATTGAGGATTCCTATGGTGAACAGGCGGATATCCGGTCATCCCGAAGAACGTCCCCGGCGCCGAACTCGGCATCACCTCCGACGGCTTCTTCGAGCTCGAGCAGCAGCCCAAAAAGGTTGTCCTCGTCGGCGCCGGCTATATCGCCGTCGAGCTCGCGGGCATCTTCCAGGCCCTCTCCTCCGAAACCCACCTCATGATCCGCGGCGACACCTTCCTGCGCCAGTTCGACCCCATGATACAGGAGGTTATGACCAAGCACTACGAGGAGGGCATGGGCATGAACATCCACCGCCGCTCGAAGCAGACAAAGGTCGAGAAGGACGAGGCTACCGGAAAGCTCACGATCCACTATGAGGGTATTAATGGCCCCGCGGTCCTGAAGGACGTGGATACGCTGATCTGGGCGATTGGACGCGCCCCAGAGACGGGCGATTTGGCGCTGGATAAGCCCGGTGTGGCGACGACTGAGAAGGGGCATGTCATTGCCGATGACTTCCAGAATACGAATGTGCCGAATATCTACTCGCTCGGCGATGTATCGGGGAAGATGGAATTGACACCTGGTTAGCCTCCCCCGCCCCCCCTCCTCCTTATATAGTACCCCAAGCAGACCAGCTAACACATGCACACAGTGGCCATCGCCGCCGGCCGCCGCCTCGCCGACCGTCTCTTCGGCGGGCCCAAATTCGCCACGGCCAAGCTGGACTACACCAACGTCCCCTCGGTGGTGTTCGCGCACCCCGAGATCGGCACCATCGGTCTCAACGAGCCCGAAGCACGCAAGAAGTACGGCGACGCAAACATCAAAGTCTACAAGACGTCCTTCACGGCCATGTACTACGCCATGCTCGAGCACAAGGGGCCCACGTCGTACAAGCTCATCTGCGAGGGCGAGAACGAGCGCGTCGTCGGCCTGCACATCATCGGGCTGGGCAGCGCCGAGATGCTGCAGGGCTTCGGCGTCGCCGTCAAGATGGGCGCGACCAAGGCGGACTTTGATGCGTGTGTGGCGATACATCCGACGAGTGCGGAGGAGCTGGTGACGTTGAGGTAGGGGGGTTAGATTAGAGCGTGGTGCTGTAGGTTAGAGGAGTAGGTAGAGGTAGAGTGTGAATTGAAATACACTATTTGATATCATTGATAGTGCCCTGGTGTTGGTTGGTATAAATTGTGGGTTTATGAGTTGGAGATAGGTGTTTGGTGTTGATATTGTACAAAAGCTGGTATGGGATCGAGGCCAATCCCAATCCCCGGCGTGGTAGAAGAGTGCTAAGCTACGATCTGATCCCAGCTACGCATTAGCGGGCGATCATTGACCGAGTGATAATCCAAGTACTTGAACCTCGGGGTTTTGAAGATAATCAATAATCAATTGAGAAAACTCTAGATGCATCCTCGGCCTCAGGTTTTTAAAGATAACGAATAATCGATTGACACAACTCTGGATATATCCCTCAGGCACCCAAAAAGACCAAAAACCAGAGCATAGCTAGCGTACAATAGAAAAAAACAGCTGACCCTAGCTAGCTAGCCCAGGCTTTATAACAGCGCCTACTTCTATATAATAAACAAAAGGAATATTTCTCCAGACTGAATTTTAAAAAACTATGTCAAATCGATGCTGGTAACAAAAAAAACTAAAAACCAAAGCGCTCTTCCCCCATCGTCATCATATACTTGTAAAAGGGAACCCTCCCTAGCTAGCTAGTAACCTAGCAGCCAGTTACTCCGTATTCCCTTATTGCTCGAATTGCCCGTATGTGTGTGTGTGGAGGGGGCCGGGGCTATTTTCCGCCGCCACTACTCGAGCCTGCTTTTGCGGCTTCTGCTTTTCTCTTTGCTTCGGCTGTGGTGAAGAGCGGTGGGTCAGTATTTTGCGCCGGAAGTATTTTTACATCTTTGGTAGTTTGTAGTATTTTTTAGCTCATCAAAGAGGGGGGCGGGGGGAAGAGGAGGGGGGGAGAGGCCAGGGCCTGCCTGGCTTTGGAGGTCGTGATGTTGGTGCTGGTGTTGGTGTTGGTGGTTTTGGTTGTGAATTTTTTCTATCTATAATTACCTTCTTGCTGCTTCTGACGCATGATCTGCGCGACCTGCTCTTTGTCGCGCTGCATTTCAGAGCCCGTTTTCTGTGCGAGATTATTAGCTTCCTCTTCTTGGATCAATCTTCTGGGGGGAGATAGAAGCGTACAGCGTTCTTGCTCTTCTGGGACGAGGCGGCCTTCTGCGCCTTCAAGCGATCGCGTTCACGCTGTCGCACCACACAACACCCGTCAGTATCAACACCTCTAATCTAATCAATCCGGGGATGCCCTCGTACCTGGTTTCCACGGGTCATGTCTGCTGTTGATGGGGGATGCTCTGTAATGAAGTCTTGTCGGAGGGAGGGAGGGAGGTATCGCAGGTTTCTGTGCGAGCGGTTTGGTGAGGAGGAGAGAAAGAAGAGAAGAAAGAAGGCGTGGGAGAAGGAAGAAGAACCCGGGGGACGCTCACCAAAAGGGGATTTTGCCAGGTGGGCAGTGTTGGGCGCGGGGGGGTTAGGGTTGGGTTGCGAGGAGGCTCAGCCTCAAAATTCAATCCAGGCCGGGCGCCGGGTTCACCGATCGTGGCTCGCTAATCTGTGTCACGTGCTGCCGATTCGTTACCGGGTCGAGCGGAGAGAGGCCGATAGTAGTGCACTTTGGTGCGATTGGCAGTGGGGAGTGTGGGTGCCAATGATTGCCTGGGTGGTTTTGGGTGCTCGCCCGGTGCTGGGAAGAACGTACGGGAATAGAATGGAGAGAATGCGTTTGTTTGGCACGAAGCGGGCAAAGTGTCAATAGAATCATTGACACCCAGGTACACACCCGTGCCTTTGACAATACAGCGTCGTACAAGATAATATGTCCACCGCACCGTGATTGATCCATTGAATTCCACCGCTGCGTCTGATGTCTACATCCAAGTCTACAGACACTTCCAGCTCCTCTGTCCAACGCTAACCCATCTCTAATCATTTGTTCTACGGATACGAACCCTCTCAATAAATCTTGATCTTCCCTTCACGCTAGCTAGTCTCAGTCTCTTTTTTCGTTACTTTCCGATACTCTCTAAACTAACCACAGTTCTACACCCCCGTCTTCTAGTTCCTGGGAATGGCACGACACTCCAGAGGCTTTGTGGCCCTGAATGTTATCCGCGGCTTAAGTGTAGTAGCTCTGTGCATGGCTATAATAGCAGCCATTACACATCTGGTCAAGAGCTTCATCCAATCAAAGGTACGAGAGAAACATATTCCCACTACCCTGTTTACTTCGCCGAACTTTTTGCTGAATTCTCCGTGCTGTAGTATTTCCTATTTGACGTCCTAAACAACCTTATCCTCGCTCTCTTCTGCTGTAAGTACCTGCCTGCCGGCCCCAACTCACGCCCGGGCTGCGCATGCCAGTTTGCTAACAAGCGATATACCGCCCCCCAAAGTATTCCTCCTAATCTCAGAAACCCCCCTCCTGAGCATCTACTACAAGCGCCGCTGGCCCCTCTTCGGCCCCGACTCATCTCTCGTCAGCATCGGCGTCGCAGAAGTCATCGTCGGCTTCCAGCTCCTCGGCATGGTCAACGACCAGCCCCATGAGCACGGCGAGAAAAAAGACGAACCCGCCGCCGTCCTCATCTCCTTCGACAAGATCCTCATGGCCTCCGGCTCCCTCGTCTGTGCCACCGGCGCAATAGTCTTCATTGCCGTAGATATCCCCCTCTCTCCGTGCTCTCGTTGCTGACATGATATTAACAACTCGGCGGTATTGTGGTAGAACTTTGTGTTCTGCAACTCCCAGACCCACACAACGGCGCGCACCATCCGCACATTCTCAAAGAAGGCCAAAGAAGCGCGCAAGCCCGCCACACTGGACCGCGTCACCGTCGACGGGGAACCCAGTATCGAGCGTCCCCAGCGCACGTTTTCCAAGGCATCGCGGGTTGCGCCAGCTGGTCACGAGCTCGAGAGGGAGCCGTCAGTACAGAATGTCGAGATGGTTAGTAGGAGGCCTTCGGTAGCATCTAGTGGTAGAGGTGCGTTTCCGTATGCTACTGCGTTTATGCCACCGCCACGACCACCACCGCCGAATGAGGAGAGTAGGGCGAGTTGGGTGGAGGGCTCGGAGGAGGCGTTCTCGCAGTCGCAGTATACGGAGGTGAGGCCGACGCCGCCACCGGCGACGGCGAAGTATGGTGTGCAAGGGAATCCGTATGAGTCTTCGGAGGCGGGAGAGTCGAGTTATTCGTCGAAGCCGTCGCCGTCGGAGTATAAGGTGAAGGGGAATCCGTATGCGAGGATTGAGGAGTAGGTGCTCGATATCCTCACCCCTCTCTCCATGAGCGGGTTTCCGAATTTTTTATCTGGAGTTTTTGTAGCATAGGCTAGGGACATGACTTTTTGGGGCCATTATTATTAGCAAGTGCCCTTGGGTTCTGGGCGGTATCGTTATCTTTCCATAGAATAATGGAGATGTGCTTTTCTTGTTTCAGCCAAAGTATACATGCATGCTCGTGAATTGGAGGATATTTCAGTGCGCAACAAAAGTAGTTTTAAAATATGTTTTTATTATTTTTTTAGTTCTAAATTTTTTTAATTTTTTTTTTTTTTTTTAGGAAGCTGAAGGGAATCAAAAAAAAAAATACCAACAGAATGAGATTAGATATGTTCCTCTTAATTCGAGGCAACGGTCCACACAGTAAAACCGCTTAAACCGCCGCCAGATACTAAAGAGACCTTCCTCCCTCTCTTGCGAGGGGAAGTAAGGCGCTGATTCTAGGCTCAAAAAAACTTTTTGACTTCAACGACCATGGAGAAAAGGCACGTCAAAGCTTCGAAAGTGCCAGTATTGAAATAGAAGGGGAATTGGAAGCGGAGAGAGGGGAGTGAAACTGGGTCTAAAAAGTGATTGATTATTGAATTGGATTGATGTACATGATGCTGCTGCAATGTTAATGGGGAAAAAAGAGTTGACGTCGAAGTTGACGTTGAAGTTGACGTCTTGAGCGGAGAAAAAAATTCGTTTCCTGTGCGTTTTAAAGTAAATTTCACGTGATACTTGGCGCTAGGAACATTTGGCCGCTGCGCTTGGCGGAAGAGGCTCTGTCGGCCTTAGTTACAAGCAGTTAGCTTTACGCGTTTCCCTGGCGGCATTCGAGAGCTTGGTACTTGCAAATTGCAACCACTCTCACTCACAGCTTCAGCAAACTTTCATACAGCTCCAACAAATACCAATGGATACCTCGGAGAATCTGCTCACGCACGAGGAGATCTGGGACGACTCAACACTGGTCAATGCCTGGGATGAGGCTCTGAATGAATATAAGGTTGGTTGGTACCTGAGCGTTTTCTTCTTCTTTTACGCGGATTTGGATTTGGATTTGGATTTGGATTTGCACTTTCGCGCTGAGCTTCAGATATAGTATCTAGGCGGGTTATCAAACAGGGTGGGTAGCTAACCATGGGCATGCTATTAGAAATACCACAGTATCGATGCTACAGGGGAGAACAAAGCAAAGATCCTGCGCGAAGCAGAGGAGGCAGAAATGCAGGACGCGCCGAGCATGAACCGGTAAGAAGCCGCCTGCCCAACATTACAACCTATTGACATGGAGGGCTATTGCTAAGGATTTGTTGTGTTTGCTACCAGGGAAGTCATTGAGTACCAGCCCTCGATCGAGGATATAGAGGACGACGCAATGGAGCACGAGGAGGCTGCTGCGCCCCACGTTAAGGTTGAGGTTGAAACAGCCGGACAGCAGGATCAGGGAAACCATGAGCAGGTATGTATAATGACAGCCAGATGATTCAGAGCAGAACAGGGAGCTGACAATATCAGGTCTCAGATACCATTACCAAGAGCACGGATGACCAGCGACCCCCCACCACCACCGCAACGACCGCCCAAGAAAAGAGTCCTACCGCCCAGGAACAGGATGCTGCCGCCCAGGAACTGAGTGCCGCTGCCCAAGCCCAGAGCGAGGCACACGCACGAATACAAAGCCATCTGGATGCGCAAGCAGCTCTCCAATCAGCGCCACCACCGTTTCCGATGAAGTCTCCGGGCGATATGAAGGGCCAGGGTGAGTGTCTTGGTTTTTTCTTTTTCTTCCCGCTCCGACTATTACGTGTGGTTGCGTAGTCGCTGATAAGGTGAGACATGTAGATAACGAGGCGTTGAGGAATCTAATGATGTCCTGGTACTTTGCCGGTTACTACACGGGATTGTACGAAGGGCAGCAGCAGGCACAGCAGCAGCAGAATGGGGGTCAACAGCCATAAGAGGCAGATTCGTCATAGGTAGGTAGGTAGGGCATCTAATAATTGATAAGTATTACTTTCTCCCTATTCGGGCTCCGTTTCCAAATCATCTCGGGAAAGCGGAATAGAGCACAAAGCACAAAGCACGGGAAAGGATTTTAAGGAGGGAATAATTGTACCACACCCGTATTTAAGTAATTCCCGGGGCCACATAGTAACAGGGTTAGTTTTTGAATCTCAACAACCACCGCATTTCTATGGAAAAGGCTATCGATGTAGGTAAAATATACCCTGCTTTATTCATACAAATTTCTAGAGAAGTCTAGTAACGTTGTATGAAGTTGTCCTCAATAATGCATACCAATCTGTGTTTTATTACTCAGAGAAACTGTTCAGGTAACTAGTCTTCTAGTTAACTCCAAATTGGCCGATATACAGTCTATATTTGTTATTTGGATAGTTCTGGGTTAATTCAATCAGCCAGAACTGAGAGGATATTCTCTGTAGTGTTGTTTCATGCAAGTATTAGACACTGCCAAAAGCAAAGGGTAAAGTCGATACAAAGCAAAGATTCTTCTGAGGTACAGCCGCGGATGTACCAGGGTGAAATCACAAATACTTGAAAGACGGTGATGAACCCAGCCCCAACATGTCTACCTTCTCGCTAGAGTTAAGCTCCCAGGGGCACGAGACGGGTCATGTAGGGCTCAGGAGAGAGAAACGCAGGAACATTCCCAGAAAGCGATCCCCGAGATCTGTGGTTGCGAGGGGACCAGGGACCACAACCCTGTTAGCGCCCAACTCAAACGCAGTCAAGCTTTCTGATACACGCCCCCAGACGCCCCCAGACACCAACAAGACGTCGCTCCTGATACGCGGGCCCTGACCCCACCACAACCGAGGCGCCGCTACTCTGTTTATAGAAATTTATAGAACTCCAACGGCCATATTTGGTAACTGTGCTTGGTGAAAACAGCCAGCTACTGGTTCGGGCATTTGCAACAGATCTCTAAATGGAGAGTTCCTTGCAGGGAAGGAAAAAAACATTGTTGCATCTGAAAGAAGGCCTAGGTACTGTCCGCATGTGGGTGACATCTCGTGTGCCCACATAATACTCCATACGGGGCTGCAGAGTTTGGAAGCTGTGAATATAAACATAAAGCTCTCTGTCACCCCTTCGGTTTTCTCTTTCCTTCTTACTTTACTTACTCCTCATCCTACTTGCACTCTTTCTTTCCTGGGCCGAGTCGTTTCCTTCTTTGCGTCTTTTATTTGCCTTTCTCTTTATTGTACTCTTTGCGAGTCGGGACTCGATATCTTTATCTTATATTCCTCATCTTCCTACTCCTTTGCCCCACGTACTGCTTCCCCCGCTGAGCGGTCCTACTCCATCCATAAAGTAATTTCCTGATACCAAAAAGCCCAATATGAGATTCACCACAGCCCTCCTGGTCTCCTCCGCCGCCGGCATATCTCTAGCGGCACACCCAGTAGTAGAAGCCGTCACATTCGCCTGGGTCTCACCCGCCGAAACGACTGTCGTCCCAGCCATGGTGATGAGCTCATCCAGCAGCTCGGCCATGATGCACGTTGCCAGTACAAGTAGTGCCGCAGCAGCAATGGTGCACACAGCAATGACAAGCTCTGCAATGGCCGCCGAGGCCACGAGTGCTGCTGCTATGACTACGGCTATGGGTGGATATACAGCTTCCATGGCTGCGCCAGCAGCTTCAGGTGGGCCAGCAACACACACTGTAAGTAGCTATGCATATGCGTGACCCTTTCCTAATACCTGAGAAACGATCATTGACCCTTCCCACAGGTTACTGTCGGCGGCACCGCAGGCTTAGTCTATGCGCCCAGCCAGATCATGGCAGCGGTAAACGACGTGGTCCAGTTTGTGTTTATGTCGCAGAACCACACAGTCACAGAATCGACCTTTGCCCTGCCCTGCAATAAGAAGGCGGCCGACGCACCCGACTCGGGCTTCATGGCGAACCCAAACAACACCATCGTCCCCGCCCCAACATGGGAGTACACCGTGACGGGCACGGAGCCGACATGGTGGTACTGCAAGCAGCGGACGGGCACGCATTGCGGGAAGGGAATGGTGTTTGCCATTAATCCGACAGTGGAGAAGTCGTTCGACACCTTCAAGGCTGCGGCCATCATGCTGAACGGGACTGCCGCAACGACGACCGGGAGTGCCACTGCTGCTGAGACAACTGCCGTAGGAACAGTTACGTTGATTGCTTCGACGAGCCAGCTGACGGATGCGGTGGCGACGGCCACGGGGGGTGCTGCTGCGCCGATCCAGACGGGGTGGAATGAGGGTGGTGCTTCGTGCCAGTGCGCGTGCTTTTGTGGGGTTGCGGCGTTCCCGCAGGGGGATGGGATTGGGGCCTATGGTGGTTATGGAGGTATTTCATCTCGTTGATCGAGTGGTGGTTGATTGTGTATCATAGCTGATTTCGTCCGGTGTAGGCTCTCTTCCGGCTCCTTGGTAGATGGTGGCTTGCTTCCTCTGCTGCTAGCTAGCTAGCTCACGTTTTTTTCCTTTGTCTTTTTCGTATCAAGACCTTCTTTGCATTTGATTATGGGCAAGACCCTTATAAAATCTAATTCTGCTTTTTATTATTATTTTGGGACGGGCTTCTCGAAAACCTTGTCACACTGCCAGTTAGTTTAATCCTTCTTACCCGGGCCCTCTTATCACCATCCTCTTTATCCACCTCCTTATTCTTCTTCTTATCCCTCTTCTTGTGCGGCTTCTTGAGAATTGTGTACTCGTTGTGTATATATATTCCTTGGGAAGCTTTTTTTTTTTTTTACTTGGTTTTCTTATAATTGGGTCACGGTCGTGGGGAGGATAGATATGCTGGTTCGTATATAGCTAGTTTGTTTGGTGTGTGTGGGCGTGTTTAGACAATAAAATTGAAATGCTGTGGACCTTCTAAGTGTGCTCTCCATTGCTGCGATAGTTTCCCAAATCAATGGGATACGCAAAAGATTATCACCTATTCACCTATCTAGGCCTCGCCATTACAATCTACTTTATTGTGTAGTTCTATAACCAATTAGAACCTTTCTTGGGAGATCGGCCATGATTGAAGATTCCGCCGCGGCGAGGTAGGATTTCTTTACCGGAACACTCGATATCCAACGAAATATCATGACTTTGATCAACACCATATTAACACACACATAGCAGGCGCATTTTTGGCGAATAGTAAGATCACAAACCCACACGCCCCCCCCCCCCCCCCGGGAGCCAACCACTCACCAATTCTTACGATCTTGGGAACAGTTAGTACATACAGGTAGTACTGTGAACTCATGCTTAGTATTAAGGTATTCACTTCATATCTGCTATAGCAAGCTCTCCTTCCGCCGCGGCCGAATCTTCGATCATGGCCGATCTTCCAATATGGCCTAGAACAGCAGTATTATCAATAGATACGCATGTCCTAGAATATAGCACTTATTATGATTGACCATTCAAACCAGCCTACTCACACATGCCAATGAAAACCATGATATCCCAAATTTAGATAACACGCCAAAGGAGAATATTTCAACACAAATATTACACCTGCATGAATTAATAATTACAATCCCCTGTTGCTGCGACAAGAATCCGTCTTCACTCCTATCTGCATGCGCCTGTAGATAGAAGGGCCGATCAATACTTCTTTAGATAGCTATTATTTGGAATACGTTTTGGAAGCCACACTCCCGACACCGCATACCAACTCCAGTTTAGGATCAATATTAACATAAATATTGAAACCCGGGGCCGACGAGACGCACTCGAAACCGGGCAAACAGGGCTGCAACAAGTCTTGGCAACGCCTCCCAACCGCACCGGCAGCTCCCCCCAGCTCGAAGCTCAAAGCACAACATATCACAGCTACCAGAAGCCCACACACCCCCGAAACATGGCATCCCCCGACCCCTCCCCCGCCTCCGAACTCACCGCCTTCTTCCGCGCCCACCGCTACACCCCCGTCTCCATCGAGTTCCACCCGCCCCACACCCCCCTCCTCACCTCCGGCCCCCACATCGCCATCCCCAAGACCCACCTCCTCGCCGCCTTCCCCCCTGCCTTCCACACCTTCAGCACGCTCCACCCCGCCACGCCCTGGAGCGCGTCCGACGCCCGCGCCCTCCTCGATGCCACCCTGATCCTGATCCTCGTGGCCGCCGAACACACCACGGCCGTCAACACGCGGCGGCGCATCTTGCAGCTGGGGTTGGGCGAGGATGTGGTGACGCCGCGGGAGGAGATGGCGCTGCTGCAGGGCGTGCTGACGAGCCATCTCGCGAAGCATAACAAGTCGCCGAGTCTGTGGGGGTATCGGCGGTGGATTGTGGAGCGCTGTGGGGTGGGGGTGCTGGGCGCGGGTGGGTTGGAGGGGGAGCTGGAGGTGGTGAGGAGGAGTGGGGAGGCGCATCCGAGGAACTATTATGTGAGGAATACTCAACCACCCCTTTCTCTAGGGGAAAATGGGTTGCTGAAGGGGTAGGGTTAGGCTTGGAACTATGCGCGGTTTATCGTCGACAAGTTCTACGGCGGTGATTATGGGGGGGATGCTGTTCCACCCCCGCCGCCGCTGCGGGAGTTGGTGGAGAGCCATGCGGTACTGTGTAGGACGCATGTGTCGGATACTAGCTTCTGGTCCTTCCTGCTGTTCTTGTTCTGGAGAGCGCGGGAATCGTCGTCGCCCAGTGATGATTGTGGATATATATTCAGCATCACGAAGGACGCGGCAATCTATGCGCATGATATGGCCAGAGGGCATGAGAGCGTGTGGATATTTATACGGACAGTCATTGTTGACGAAAAGCTACAGCTGAAAGAAGCTGAATGGCAAGAGTTGATCGAGATGGTGGAAGGCTGGGTACAAGAGGCAGAGACTGCCAGTAATGTAGATGAAGAGCTGGTACTTGAGAAGAAGGCCCTGCGGTGGATATCGAGAAGATCCGTTACCTCAGAGACTCCACTGGCAGCAGAGACGTAATTAGTTATCAATATCTAGAATTGTTGTTATATCCAGAATTTCTGTTAGTACAGTGGAGTCCCGATAGTAGCATTCTCGATAATAGCATATCCTCGATTGTAGCATATAGTTGGGCAATCCCAAACGAGTCGGTACGGGCAAATTTGTTCTCGATACAAGCATATTCTCGATAGTAGCACACGAAAATCCGTTCCCGACCATATGCTACTATCGAGACTCCACTGTAGTGCCCAAATGGCTGGCTATCAGTAGATAAGACACCGAGTGATAATCCATGATGCGAGACTTGGCCCAAGCACCTGCGGCCAGAAATGGCGTTGCGCAGGTCACTTCCCTTTCCACACGCGCGGTGACACACACGGTACGCGGTAACACACACACACCTTTCGTGTGTGATATCATGCGCAGCCCAAACGCCCTCTCCCACAGCCAATGAAACACTCCCTCTCTGCATAATATACAGCATAATATCCAACCAACACAGCAGGACAGTACGAGCCCTAGGAATTCTGACAGCTGCACAATGTCTCACTCCTCACGCCTACAAAGAGGAGGAGGAGCAGGAGGAGGGGAAACCCCAACCCGCCGCGCCCTCTTCCCACCCACCCAGCAGCTCTCCCGCTCCCACTCCACCACTACCACGTCCGCCCTCTCCCCTCCGCACCTGCCCTCCCCCTCTCGCACCCGCCAATTCTTCTCCACCCCGCCCTCCCCGTCCACCTCCACCCCAATGCCGCCACCCACCACCAACACCAACCCCAACCCCAACGCCGCAGCAGCAACAGCAGCACCTACAGTAGCAGTAGCAGCAACAACAGCCCACGAAAAGATGTGGCACGAGATGCAACAAAAGCTCGAAGAAGTGTCTCTCTCCGGCGACCACGTCTTCGGCAGCACACACTCAAAGTCCCTCGCCAGCCTGCGCACCGCCCAGGTCGAGCTCGCCCAGGCCTGGATGCGCAGTGAGGAGGACGACCTCGACAACAAGCACACCGTGTTTGGCCGTCAAGCCTTTGCCCCCGCCGCTGCTGGCCCCGCTGGTGCTGGTGCTGGTGCTGGTGCTGGTGCTGGTGCTGGTGCGTCCTCGTCCGCCGCGACCGTGCAGGAGCAGGACGAGGACCTGCTGCTGGCCGGGGAGCGCAGGAGGGCGAATGATGCCCACTTCACGAGGGTGGCCATGAGTGTGGTTGATGTGACGAGGCGGCTGGAGAATGTGGCGAGGGCTATGGCGGGCGTGGAGCTGGAGAGTAGGGGCATTTGGGCCGGGAGTAGTGAGTCGGATGGGAGCTCGCTGCTGGGTTGAGTTTGGGGATTGTAGATATTGGTCGTTTTTCCTTTTGCTTCTTTTCGTTTTTTTTTTTTTTTTTTTTTTTTCTTTTATGGAGTTTGGGTGAAGCTTCAAGAGCCTCTTACTTCTTCATGAGCTTATTTTTTGTTATACACATTTACATAATAGGGCATTCACAGGACTAGACAGGACCGATGGCATAGAGCAAAGCAGAGCATTGATGCGAATTGCCCGGCATTGGGCCTTTAATGATTGACATAGCTAGTAAACTCTCCTCCCATGGACCACCCTCCTCCCGTTCGTTCGTTCGCATATAGTTTTTTCAGCATCGCGCCGCGTCCACCAGACATTAAACCAATAAGTCATACTGCATGACATCTAAATATAACACCGATCCACAAACTAATGAGAGAGAAAGATATGAAACGTAAATCAAGAAAGAAGATGAAAATTGGAACGGCAAGTCTTTGATTTGGATAACATGCCGACATCTGTTGCTAATAGAGAGAAAAGTAAACTAAAGCCAGAAATAAATAAAAAGACACGCAAACACGCTGACTCCCTTATGGACTGGTTTTCCGGATGACTGGCGTCTCCGTAGTCTTGTTTCCGCTTGTCACGGCCTCGTCCGCTCCGGCGTTAATGTCGTTCTGGATACTGGCCTGTAACCTCTTCTCTTGCCCCTCCTTGGGAGGACTCTGCGCATCCTCGTCGTCAGATGAAGCTTCCGACTGAGCCATGGAGCCACGTGGGGTCTGTCTTGCACGCATCTAATCGGATTTCATTAATCTCAAATCTCATCTGAATATATTTCCGCCAGGGATCAATTATCCACTCACCCAAGATCTAACTCCACCGATGAGACCTAGCGAATATCCATTCGCAAACTCAGTGTGCGGCGATTGTGGCCTGGAAGGCGGTTCCAAATGTGAAAGGTGGCTCTTCTCGCCGCCCATATCCCTATTTGATCCGCCTGATCCACCATATGTCCCAAAGAGATAGGGCGAAGACGACCTGGGAGAGGCAGGCGCCCAATAGTTTCGGAATTCGTCCCGAAGCTCTCGCCCGGTCGTGGACCAGTTGTTTTTGATGGTTTCACGCAGCTCAGTGACGTGGCGCTTGAGATCGAGCTCGTTCTTCTTGAGCCAAGAGACATTGAGCTCTTGACGGCTAGTGCCCCGCTTGAGCTGTCGAATGATATACTTCTCGTAATCACGCACGATCCTATCATTACCGCGTCAGCACTCTACCGAAGATCGGATAATCAATTGCGCCGGTATATCTCACTTTGTAATGATGTAGGTAGTCGAGATACCCTCTGTCCGTTGGGTCACGAGGAATTTGCCGGCTTCTTTGCAGGGGCGGTAAATGTCATCGGAATCCGCACTTGCATACGGCTCATCGTCGTGTGCGACATAATCGATCGAGTGCTCGTCCAAGAACTCAGGGGAAACAATCCATGGCGCGTTCTCGATGACCTCGTCCACCCATTTGCAATGGCGAAGCGTCTCTGCTCTCTCTTGGTCTGTAAGAACCGTGAGTCCCTTGCGCTTGTGGGTTTCCGTGTCGTTAGGGATTCCAACAAGAAGATAAGTATTTGGGAATGCCTTCTTCGCTTGTTCGAGCTGTCGCATGTGCCTGGGCGCCCAATGACCTGTGTTAGAAACTTTTCTTTTTCCACTTTTCTTCCACATGCCCGAATAAACGGTAAGCACAACGGGAACCCAAGTATAAAACTCACCCAAGATGGAATAGGTCGAATACTCCATCAGCATACACCCTCACCGGCCTATCAGTGGGAGGAGGATTCATGGAATACCCCGCGGGAGCCAATGTACCTCCCTTCTCTGGCGGTGCCATAGGTGGGGGAGCAGGTGGCCCGTCCACACTCCCAGTGCTACTGGAACTTGCGCTCGAGTTTGTCCTCGTACCACTCAATGGGCGTCTCCCATCTCTGACACGGCCCTGGATGGCGCTGCTGGCTTCCGTAGTCGACGATTTATCACCTTCGTCAACATCATTATGGTCCAGCGAATGCCTCTTAGCTCGCTTCGCCGGGTGGCCGCCCGCGACTGAATCTGCCCCCGGAGCGCCAACTCCAGCTGTAGGAGCAGAATCGTAGGAGAGCTCTGCATCGGCCTCTTCGCCTGAGGTTGGCTGCTGATTTGAAGGGTTTCCCTCCATGGAAAGACGATTGTCGGAGGTTCTTGAGTTTAACCTCTTGCGCTTATTAACAATTGAACTCGATGAGAACGACATGACTGCTTTGGATGTTGCTGAGTTTGAGAGTAACAGGGAAATTTTTTATAATAGAGATCAAAGAAAAATAGAAGGTGGTTGGAAAGTCTGTTATTTTTTTTCAAGCCGGGAGATCCAAAGAGTCGGGTCTAAGTTCTTTCTTGGAAGTCAACCTCCTTTTTTTGAACCTTTTTTATTTTATTTTATTTTTCCTCAACTCTGTCTTTCTTGTTATCGGGATTCGGAAGCGGAAGCAGGGTCTTTGGTGAGAGAGGGAAAGGGGTGGTGGTTCACGTCAACATTCGACGGAGGTTTTGTTGGCGAAAACCTGGCGTAGAGATCAGCACAACAGCCTTTTCGTGATGTTGCTTGTGATAATGCGTTATGGTAAGAGTTTAGAGGCACGAATTGAATGGGGGCCGAAAAGATGAGGCCAAAACTTGATTTAAAAAGGATTGGACAAGAGAAGGAGGCTTGCCGGTGTGGAAGCTATATGTGTACTCTACCAGTAAAACGTGTTGAAGCTCCTGTTCTTACAGGTTGATTTGATCGGTTGATAGATGGAAGGTTTCAGAGGGTCCTCAGACATGCAACTCTCCTTCTTCTCTATCTCTATCTTTACTAGTAGTACTCTGGCATCACCAACACCACCTCCTCCTTCTTTAAGTTAAGCTGTCTGTTCCGCTTCTCCTCGGTCCACGCTTACTCCGACTGTAACTTCTTTCTTTCATTTGGTGGGGATTTGACGTGACACTAACCGAGCAGAAACGGCGAGGTGAGGCTGGTAAGATGCATCCGTCATCGTTTTGGCACAGCCACAACGCCCCAACCATAAAATGCACCCTAGCCCTAACAGGTTCTAGAAATAAGATTGGAATGCCCAACAGTTTTTACCCGCTGTCAAAAAAAGATGTTTAACCCGGTGCCTAAAACAAGTTTCTTGTTTTAACTGTTTGAACAGAGAGTAGCAGATAATACAAGCATATACGTATATACGCGTATGCTACGGCAAATACATCATGATTGATTTCAGTTGATTTCGGTTTGCCTTCTAAGCTTACTGTATTTGTCTATCATACAGGTTCTACCAATGCAGGCAGCTTCATAAAGCTTGTATATACATGCGTGTGCGGATATGTAATTATTACAATAAATCGATATATGCCATCCCTTTTCGCCGTGACTCCCAACACGCTATGTATAGCCACTTTAACAATTATAAAACAAAACAGATGAAGGCAAAATAACAAGCTCTGTACAAAACAGAACTGCAGTCGCTATAGTGCAAAAAGGAAAGAGAGAGAAAGAGAGAAAACCAAGGAGACAGTACGTAGCTGTAAGTAATTGGGGAGACAAAAGGAAGCGCAGCAAAAAAAAGAACACACCTGACGAATCTTCTGGTCGAGCATCAAGCCCTTTGTCTTTCCTTAGGCTTATCTAATGAATGACCCATGCGAACTTGAATGTAATAGAAAGGGAATAAAGATGAATAATCCAATAAAAGGCAAAGAAAGTCGTTAGCATCACTTTGTCGTGGTTGGCCCTTGCATTTGTTATCCATCACCAGATGCCTCATGTTGCATCTGGTGTTTCTGATTGCCGTAGGGCCAACCATCTCAACCATTCAAACTTCGCTTTCTCCCACGATAGCAAAGATCACGCCACTCCCAATGCAAACTGAAGCAAAGGCCAACCATACCATCGCTTGATACAATACCCCAACCCTCAATCGTTTCGTTAAAAACATCACTAAACCTGTTCCTGCCATTATCAAAGCAACCAACACAGCACTGCAAACCTCGATATCTACCGTGAACCCTCTTTTACGCCATTTGTGCTTATGACTTAATATGGTCGAGTTCATTGCCAAAATGGCTGTAACAGAAAGAATGAAAACAGCACCCGCAAGACAATAAATGTCTGCTCTATCTGTCGAAGACTGTGAAATATCGAACCGCGAAGTTGCAGCGCGGCGCCGGTGTGCAGAGCGAGTACTCAATAACATTCCTGTTTCCACATCAACCTCGCCTGAAGACAGAGAGCTTGCCATGCTTGGTTTACGGAGGAGAGGTCGGCGTTCTGCTCTCGTCTCGGGGCTCCGGATAAAGAACCTTTGTATTTTGATTCCCGTAGAAACAAAGCCTTTTTTGATAAATTCTCCAAGTGTGTCGTCATCATCATCAAACCCATCATCGGAGGATGCTTTGCGACTGACGATTATTGTATAAGGCTCCTCTTCGTTGTCCGTAGCATCATTAAACTCGCTCCAGTAGCGTTCACCACCGATGCTTTCGATTTCAGATAGTCCACTTTTGGTCCTGTTGTATTTCCTTCCATTCCGGTAACCAGTGCCCGAGCCACTCTCATACGCTGTCGCTGAAGAATCAAACCCATCAGTAAAATCATGAACCGCTGTTGATCCCCCGACTGATGCTGCTTTTGAATTTGGGGCAAATATTAAATGTGCTGAACCCCGCCGACTGTGTCGCGGTGTGTGTACTGGTGTTTTTCGAATATCTTTCTGCAATGCCGATACCTATTTAAATGTTAGTAATTCGGCATAATACACAGGGGGAAAGGGCTATATTACCCAAAATGGTGCAGTCATTTTCTTTGGTCGATAGAGCTCTGCAACTGCGTGCACGTCGAGTGAGAATCCTCTCACGTTCTCAACCTAAACAAAATCAGTTAGTGTCTAGTTGATGCAACTCTCCACGTGGCAAACTAACCATATGACTGGTCTCAAGTTCTCTCACAAGCCCTGGCATCTCCTCCCC